TTGTCACATGAGCGGATAGAAACAGGTAGACTGTTCCAGAGTTCAGGAGCGGAAACAGCAAAAGCTCGAGGACCATACGTCTTCAGGTGAAAATTCGCGGGGTTAAGAAGTAATAAGTGTGATGATCGGAGGATTCTGGACTTAAAATCAGAATGTGAAGATGACTGCATTGAAGTCTCCCAACTGATACAGAGGTTTTCTTTGTTTTCGGTTACCTGTAGTTTTTCTTATTATTTATTTGTACCTTTTGTAATTTTGTTGAAATTATGGTTACTTTCTTTCTTTCCTTTTTAATATAAACTCTTACCCCCGCCTCGATTAGTTCTGGAACTAGTTGTGGGGCCAAGCCATTGTAACTGTATGTCAGAAAACAAAATACAATTAAAGTTCAAAGTTCAAAGTTCATCACATTTTCCCAAAACTTTCTGATTTTAAGTCCAAAATATGGAAAATTCACAAAAAGCTCGGCGACTTTTGGCTCAATAGAAAGCCATACTTACATATACATTGCTGCTTCAATGGCTGAGCTAATACAAGACAGAAGAACAGCAGAGAATTAGATCTCGGGGAAAGACTAACACTCAAAATATCTGCACTTAAAAATATACTCCCCGACTTATCAATTGATTTCAAAGATCGAGAACTTGTTACATCCATGCACAATGAAAACACAAGCGGCCGCCTCGTGCAATATCCTAAACCACAAGTGGTCGCCTCAGGACCACATGAGCCTCTTCTGACAGAGAACAACTGGGGCATTACTTTTTTCTGCGCCAGACAAACTGCATTCCTTGTCATTCCACTTCACCATTCTGTACGGCACTGCATACATGTGGGCACATTTCTCTTTCACGTGATTCGGTTCCCCGCTTGCCCATGCAGAAAACTGATCCGCTAGTGGAGTGCCATCGATCCAGTAGAACGCATCTCCAGCCGACGGATTTCTGTAAAGACCAAGCCATGCACCATAAAATGTTACTTTTTTTTGCTCCTTCAACAGGTCAAGAGTAAAGTTATTCTCATCTTGTGATCTGATTATAGCGAGGTCTCCTCGCAGATTCTGGCGAGTAGATCGAGCGGTGCTCCATTCGTCGGTCGGAGTGTCGATGACGTGGTAACATGAATTTCCGTGATGGACCCAATCTGGCAGACAACCTTATCGAGTTAAATACAAGAAAGGAGTATAAATATTTCAGTCAGAAGAACTATACGAAAATTAGAGCAATTAACATGTGACCTGGAAATGACTATGAAACAAATTTCAAATGGGAAATTAAAGAAACATTTTAATTGGCTGAGCAATCAGAGCCGACAACACGCACCCTTTTGTTTGCATGGTTATAAAAACGACGCAAAGCAATGCGCACAGATTGCAAGTAGCGTTCTCTTTGACCTCACGCGCTTTTCTGTTAAGTCAATCGAACAAAGTATCTTAATATTAGGGATGTGGGGGAAACCGCTCAAAGTTTGTTTTAATCCTAACACAAATGGTAAACAGGTGCAAAAACAGGTTTTCAAAGTTGTGCGAAAACTGACTTTGAAATCAGCTTTGATATTCTGATTTTCATTCTGATCGCTTCTTTATACAACTTTTCAGTTATATGACATTTTTGACAAAGAGTCTGTCACATTTTGAAGCCGGTGCAAAGTTTTGGCTAGAGACTGACAGGATTTGTGAAAACAAGGCCACGAATACCACGGAAAATAATTACTTTAATTTTTAATTGTGTTTTTTTTTTTTTT